CACCGTCACTGCCCACCCACCGTCACTGCCCACCGTCACTGCCCACCCGCCGTCACTGCCCGCCCACCCTCACCATAGCCTCTGGCCTCCCTGGGCTGCCTCAGGCAGGGGCCCCTATGGTGTCCCTCTCTGCCTCTCTGTATGTCCAGTTCCTTCACCTCCTCCTCCAGGGAGCGCTCCCTGACCACCCAGACCCTCTGTGCTGCTGCCAGTTCTCGTCTGGCTCTGACCTTCCCCCGTTTCTCTTGTCTGTCCTCTACTGGTGTCTAAGCTCTGGGGGCAGGACACAGGTCTGTCTGCCTCCTTTGAATTCCCGGCACCCAGGCCAGCCTGGGCTCACAGGAGGTGCTTTAGTGGACAGCTGCCGAGGCCCCATGTGCCCTTCTCCCCTCAGCGCGGCCGACATCTACATCGAGGAGCATTTCCACCGCTACGTGAGTAGCGGCCACCCTGAGGCCTCTCCGCTGCGGGTGATGTACACGGACCGCCCGCCCAGCCAGACAGATGCGGCCACACTGAGGTACTGCCTCCTGACCGAGGACCGCCGGGCCTTCCGCCCCCCGACGCGGGCGGAGCTGGAGCAGCACCGTATCGTGGTCACCACCACCTCCCAGGCCCGCGAGCTCAGGGTGCCGGCCGGTTTCTTCTCGCACATCCTCATTGACGAGGCCGCCCAGATGCTGGAGTGCGAGGCGCTTACCCCACTGCGCTACGCCTCGCCCAGCACCCGCGTGGTGCTGGCCGGGGACCACATGCAGGTCACGCCCAAGCTCTACAGTGTGGCAGGCGCCCAGGCCGCGGGGCACACCCTTCTCTGCCGCCTCTTCCAGCACTACCAGCAGGAGGCGCACGAGGTCGCCCGGCACAGCCGCATCATCTTCCACGAGAACTACCGTTCCACCGAGGCCATCCTCAGCTTCGTCTCGCGACACTTCTATGTGGCCAAGGGCAGCCCCATCCACGCCAGTAGCAAGGTGCCTCGCCACCCCAAGCACTACCCGCTCATGTTCTGCCACGTGGCCGGCAACCCCGAACGTGACATGTCGGGCACGTCCTGGCTGAACACGGCGGAGATCGTCCAGGTCGTTGAGAAGGTGCAGGACATCTACCACAGCTGGCCCCCCTGCTGGGGCAGCCGGGAGCAGAGGCACATTTGCGCCGTGTCCCATGGCGCCCAGGTAAGCCCCAGATGCGGGGACAGCCTGCCTCCCCCGCTTCTGACAGGGACGCCAGGAGGAGGGCACCGGTCCCTCCGTGGTCTGGAGGACCTGCACGCGGGGCCTCCTCGGCCTCAGTTTCCCCTCCTGAGAGAGGGACTGAGGAAATAATTTGCCAGGCCGTGATGTGGGGCTCGAATCCCGCTGCTGGCGCCGGGGCACCAGGCGGTGGGGGCCGGTGTCCCACACCGGTGCTCACCCAGGCCTGCTGCTCCGGCTGTGTGTGTCTCCAGGTGGGTGCGCTAAGGCAGGAGCTGAGGAAGAGGGACCTGGGCCAGGTGTCTGTGGGCAGCTTTGAGATCCTGCCAGGTGGGTGATCGGTGCTGGGGTGAGGGCGGGTGGGCAGCACCCCCCCGCCCGGCCTGACCGTGCCCACTTGCAGGGCGGGAATTCCGCGTCGTGGTGCTGAGCACTGTCCACAACCACCACAGCCTGCTGAGCTCAGGGGCACCTGCCCTGGGCTTCTTCACTGACGCCCGTGTGCTCAACACCGTCATGACCCGCGCCCAGTCCCAGGTGGTGGCCGTGGGCAACGCCATGGCCCTCTGCTCCTTCGGGGCCTGCAGCAAGCTCTGGAAGAGCTTCATCCGCGAGTGTGTGAGGCACCACAGCGTCTGCCCCGAGACTCTGTCCCTGGAGCACATCGAGCAGGATGTGGTCCGAAGACAGCGCTGGGCCCTGCAAGCAGAGGGGTCTGTGGCAGCCGTGGCCCAGGACACTGTCCCAGAGGAGGGGGCAGCAGGGGCTCCAGCCAAAGAGCACGCAGCCACGGAGAGGGTGGGGCCAGCGGCCAAGGCTGAAGGGAGAACATCCCTGTCCAAGACCTCGGCAGCAGGAGAGGACGCAGCCGCACAGAGGACAGAGGCCGGGGACACGGCATTGGGGTCCGTGGCCGGGCGCTGCACAGTGGTGGGGGAGCCCGCCAGGGTCCCCACGGAGGCAGAGGACACACCATCGGCAGGGAACTTGTCGGTGGGGGACAAGGCCCCCGGGAAGGCGGTGGCGGGGCCGATGGCCACGGAAGATGGGGAAGCCGAGGAGCCCGAAGACTCCGAGTCGGACTTCTGGCCTTCTGACACAGAGCTTAACGCCGACGACTCCATCCTGCAGGAGCTCCTGGATGAAGCCCGGAACGTGATGGTGACCGTCCGGGAAGATGGGCTGCTGGACACTGTCACCAGGCCCGAGTCCCCACACCAGGCCCAGCAGTACAGGAACCTGCCGCGGGCCACGCTGCGGAAGCTGCTGTGCACGGAGCCTGAGCTGTACCGCCACTGCGCCTTCGTGCAGGAGACCTTTGAGCGGGCGAAGGCCATCCCGCTGGACAACACAGATTCCGGCCCCATCCAGATCAGGGGCCGCTTGCACTGTGGGATGGCCTTCAGCGGGGACGAGGTGCTGGTGAGGGTCCTGGGAGGAGACCAGGGCTCCTCCGGGAGGCTGCAGGGCCGCGTGGTGGGCGTGCTCAAGAGGAAACGCCGCGAGCTGGTGTTCGTGTGCCGCATGGACGAGTGGGACCCTCGCCTCATGACCCCCATCGACGGCTCTGTGACCAAGATCTTCGTGGCCGAGCTGAAGGACCCGCTGCAGGTGCCCGTGCACCGTGTCCAGCAGGGCCGCGTGCAGCGCGTGGGGTACGAGCGGCTCCCTGCCGAGGCCCGCAGCAGTCGGCTCTTCTGGGTGCGCATTGTCCTGTGGCGGCAGCGCTTCTACTATCCCTTGGGCATCATCCTGGAGGTGCTGCCCGAGGCCACCACCTGGGAGCAGGGCCTCCGCATCCTGGACCTGGAGCACGGCCTGAGGAAGCCCTCGCTGGAGCCAGCCTCCATCAGCAAGGCGCTGCAGAAGTACCGGGCGGAGCTCGGCCGGGCCCCTGACCGCCGGGAGGACTGCCGCGGCTTCCTGACCTTCACCGTGGACCCCCAGGGCGCCTGCTACCTGGATGATGCCCTCAGCGTCCGAGATCTGGGCTCCAGGTACGAGGTGGCCGTGCACATCGCCGACGTGGCCAGTGTTGTCCCCAGGGACGGGCCTCTGGACTTAGAGGCCCGCAGACAGGGCATCACGTTCTACGCCCCTAACCGGGAGCCTGTGCCTATGCTGCCAGCCGGCCTCTGCCGGGACGCACTCAGCCTCCTGCCGGGCCAGGACCGCCTGGCCATCTCCCTCTTCCTCACCGTCGAGAAGGGCAGTGACCAGCTCCAAAGCCTGCACTTCGCACCCTCTGTGGTCTGCTCTGACCGTCAGCTGTCCTATGAGGAAGCCGAGCATGTGATCAAGAGGCACCCGGGCGCTGGCCACGAGCTGCCAGCCCGCCTGGACTCTGTGGACGCCTGTGTTGTGGCCGCATGCCACTTCTCCCGGGTGCTGCGCCGAGCCCGCCTGCGGACCGACTCCCACTACGAGCAGCCCAGTGAGGACTGTGTGCTTGGCTTCCGCGCGGCCCACGTCATGGTCAAAGAGTACATGATCCAGTTCAACAGCCTGGTGGCCGAGCTCCTGGTGAGCAGCGAGCACACGCAGACCGTCACGCCGCTGCGGTGGCAGCCCGCACCTAGCGAGCACCAGCTCGGGGCCTTGTGTGAGAAGCACAGAGAGCTGGTGCCCCTGTCGCTGCACCTCCGCCACCACCTGCAGGGCCACGGCCCCCCCGGTACACAGATCCACCTCCTGGGCTCCCTGTGGAGGCACCTGCAGCGCGCAGCCTGTGCTGGGGACCACGACTGTCTGGCAGACCTCATCACCACGGATGACATGCACCCCTCTCTGGCTCCTGTGGGCCTTGACTTCCGCAAGGCGCTGGGCCGCTCAGTGTTTGGCCGCTCCCGCCAAGGGGGACGGCAGGTGGCCAGCCACTATGCACTGCAGGTCGACTGGTACACGTGGGCCACCTCGCCCATTCGCCGGTACCTGGACGTGGTGCTGCAGCGGCAGATCCTGCTGGCGCTGGGCCACAGGGGCTCCACCTACTCCGCCAGGGACATCGATGGGCTCTGCCAGGAATTCAGCTACCAGCACGGGCGCGCCCAGAGCTATCAGCGCCAGGCCCAAAGCCTGCATCTAGCCGCACAGCTCAAGGTCCAGCCGCAGAGCAAGCTGGGCTTTGTGGTGGGCGTGGAGGCGGGCACCCGTGGCTTCAGGCTGCTCTTCCCAGCCGACCCCGAGACCCTGCCTGACCCCTGCCCTGTCCACTACCGCTCCCTGCAGTTGGCGGAGCACCCCAGCGACCTGGTGAAGCGGCCGGGCCTGCGGCTGGGGTGGCGGCGCCGAATCTACTCTGTGCAGGCGGACAGGCGGCCCTCCCCGGTGCCTGGCACCCTGCTGGACCCACACTGCCGGCGGGTTGAGGCCGCCCTGTGGCAACAGCTGCTGGAGCTGGTGCAGGAGGGGCGGTGGCCTGAGGCAGCCGCCCTAGTGCAGGAGCAGGGCACGACGGAGCCCCAGCCGCCAGAGCTGGGCTGCGTGTGGTGGAACTGCTGTGGCCAGTTTGTGGAGGTGGCCCGGGAGCTGGGCAGTGGGGACACGCTGCAAGTGCAGCTCAGTGCCGTCCTGCAGCGCGGGTTCCTGGTACCGAGTCTGCAGCTGTGCACCATGGTGCCTGGCCTCACCCTCTGCCTGGAGCACGTGGAGCGGCCAGGCGCCTGCTTCCTGGACCAGATGCCCCGCGCGGCGCGGGACCGCTGTCTCCACCTGGGCGAGTACTCCCGCGTGTGGGGGTCGTTCTGCTCCCTGGAGTCGGCCACCAGCGCAGTCTCTGAGGGTGACTCCATTACGCTGCAGCACGTGAGCATATCCTGGGATGCGGAGCAGGTGGCTCAGGGCCACCTGTGGGGCTCCTTCTGCCTGGAACCTTCCTTCCTCAGTGAGCATTTCATTGACCTCAACTTCGGCCACTGCTACCTCTGCATCCGGCTCGAGGGGCTGCCAGCCATGCCCGCTGCAGGGGAGCTGCACCCCCCCGCTGGTCCTGGCCAGCCTCCCCTGGCCGCCCTGCCCTGCTCATCCCTCCTGAGCATCGACCCTGACACATACACGTGGGTGGCCCACGGGCTGATGGAGCCCTGGGACCGGAAGGAGGGCTGGGCCGACCAGCAGGAGACCCCCAGGCGGATGCACTTCTTCATCCAGCACATGGCCATGGAGAAGGTTCCAGAAGAGGTGCTGAGACCTGGCACCCAATTCACCATTGAGGTTCTGCCCAAGCAGCTTCCTGATATGTGAGTGGCCTCCACAGGGAGAAGCCGGGGAGAAGCTGGTGGGCGGGGTGGGCCGAGCACTCCCTGGGTGTCCTCCTGGGGGGAAGTCGTGGATGTCCCAGGGTCCATCTTCACTGCCACCTGCCCCCAGTCGCAAGGAAGAAGCCGTGCGTAGGTTGAAGCGTGCGTCCCCGCTGGTCGTCAGCATTGCGCTGGGCCAGCCCATCCCTCCGCCCTGCCGCCTTCCTCCCCAGCAGACCCTCCACAGAGGTAGGTCGAGGGACCCTCTATCCCCCCCCCCCCCCGCCATGTCCCTTCATCCTGCCTGGGCCCTGCCCTGCGCCCCTGCTCAGGCAGGCCTGACCCTTCCTTAGGGATGTACAGCAAGCTTCTGGAGAAACAGACGTTCGACCTCCCTGGAGGCTGCCACACACTGAACTCCAGCCAGAACCGGGCTGTCAGGGCAGCCCTGCAGAAGCAGTTCACAGTGATCCAGGGCCCACCAGGTGGGGCCTGTGCTGCGGGGGTGGGGTGCCCGGGGCTGCCCGCACAGGCAGCCGCGGTCTCTGTTCATGGTGCTGTCTGCCTGCAGGCACGGGGAAGACAGTGGTGGGTCTCCACATTGTGTTCTGGTTTCACAAGTCAAACGAGGAGTGGGTGAAGGCCCGGGGCACCCCCAGTGAGGAGAAGCCACTGGGGGGTCCCTGCATCTTGTACTGCGGCCCCTCTAACAAGTCGGTGGATGTCCTAGCAGGTGCGCTGGGCTGGCTGTGTGGGGGCTTTGCCTGGGGTTGCTGGCCCCGGGGACAGTCTCTCATGCCCGTTGCCACCAGGACTGCTGCTGAGTAGGAAAGCAGAGTTGAAACCGCTGCGGGTGTACAGCGAGCAGGCCGAGGCCACCGAATTCCCGATGCCGGGTGTGGGCAGCAGCGGCCCGCCCAAGAAGACCCCCCGGGAGGGGAGGCCCAACCAGGCCCTCAGGTGCAGTCTGTTGGCTCTCTTGTCTATGGGCGGAGGCAAAAGGCCCCACAGTCCTGTCTTGGGCAAGGGGTAGCACAGGGCTTTACGGATGTCTCCCCACCCCAGGAGCATCACCCTGCACCACAGGATCCGGCAGCCCTCCAACCCCTATGCATGGGACATCAGGGAGTTCGATGCCCGTTTGCAGAAAGGGGAGATCTTCTCCAAGGATGACGTCAGCCAGTAAGCAGTTGGGGTCATGGAGTTGTTTCTTGCCATGGAGGTATATGTGGTGGGGAGGGGGTCCCTGTATGACCGTATGGTGTCCCCGGGCAGGTACAAGCAGCTCCTGGGGAAGGCGCGGAAGTTCGAGCTGGAGCAGCACAGGGTCATCCTGTGCACGTGCTCGTGTGCGGCCTTAGCTAGCCTCAAGAGGCTGGTTGTCCGGCAGATCCTCATTGATGAGGCAGGCATGGCCACAGAGCCCGAGACCCTTATCCCTCTGGTGGCCTTCTCGAAGGTGGAGAAGGTGAGTGAGCTGGGCGGGGAGCTGGGAGCCCCAGGCAGGTGTCAGTGGGTGTGGCCTTTTGCCTGGGTGGGCAGCATTGTGGTTGTGGTGGAGTGGCCATGGCCGTGGAGCTGGGTTCCCCGTCTGCAGGTGTCAGCACTGTGCCTGCCTGTCCCTCCAGGTGGTTCTTCTGGGGGATCACAAGCAGCTGCGGCCTGTGGTCAAAAATGAGCAGCTGCAAAATCTGGGGCTGGATCGGTCTCTCTTTGAGAGGTATCACATGGATGCCTACCTGCTGGACACCCAGTACCGCATGGTAAGCCTGTCCCAGCCTCTTCCAGCCCAAGGTGTGGTCTGAGGCCAGGGATGCCAGAGGTGTTGCTGCCCACACCCCGACCTCCTGTGTCCACCCTGGCCCCCAAGACCCCCAGCAGATAGGTGACCTGCCCTGGCACATGCCCTGCCTTGCAGCACGAGGGCATCTGTACCTTCCCCTCCATGGAGTTCTACAAGAAGAAGCTGAAGACCTGGTGGGCCCTGAAGCGGCCGCCCAGCATCCTAGGCCACATCGGCAAGGAGAGCTGCCCCGTCATCTTTGGCCACGTGCAGGGCCATGAGCAGAGCCTACTGGTGTCCACAGATGAAGGGAATGAAAACTCCAAGGCCAACCCGGAGGAGGTGGCAGAGGTGGTGAGTGTCAGTGAGACTTTCCCGGTGCCTCTTGGTCAGGGAGGGCTTCCTGGAGGAGGAGGTGGAGGAACTGGGGGGGCAGGTCCAGGACCGGAGAGGTACCAGGGCCAGCTTCAACAGCACCCCCTTGGTCCCTCAGGTCCGCATTGCCAAGCAGCTGACCCTGGGCAGGACAGTGGATCCCAAAGATGTCGCCATTCTCACTCCCTACAATGCTCAGGCTGCGGAGATCAGCAAGAGCCTTGGGCGAGAGCATGTCACTGGAGTGACCGTGTGCTCCATCACCAAGAGTCAGGGTGAGCGCGGCTCTGGGGCAGGGGGCTCGCGGGCCAGCAGTCACAGGGTGGGGGCAGGTGGCACGGCTGGGGCCTCATCATGCCTACCCAACTGCGCAGGAAGTGAGTGGCGCTACGTGCTGGTGAGCACCGTCCGGACGTGCCAGGAGAGTGACCTGGACCAGCGGCCGACTAAGAGCTGGCTTAAGAAGTTCCTGGGCTTTGTCGTGGACCCCAATCAAGTCAACGTGGCCATCACCCGGGCCAAAGAGGGACTCTGCTTCATCGGTAGGACCAGTTGGCTGGGGGAGGGGAGGGCTGGGGCAGGGCTTCTGGGGGTGTGGCTGCCCGGCTGGGGGTGGGGAGGGCTTTGGCAGCGTTGAGGTCTACCATGGACTCCTCTCCCCTCCCTCAACCTCTGCAGGAGACCACCGCCTCCTGCGTTGTTGCCCTCTCTGGCGGAGATTCCTGGACTTCTGTGAGGACCAGCAGACTCTCGTGCCCGCCAGCCAGGTGCGAGTTCGGAGGAGGCCAGCGGTGTCTCCTTGAAGAGCCCACTCTGCCCGCCCACTGCCATCAGGCTGCCAGGACTGCAAGGTGAAGTCCTGAGCCCTCTTCTGTGGGCTGCCTTGCCAGGCCCCACTCAGCAGAATCCTACGTGCCTTCGGTGGGCACTGCTGGCCACCCCGCCTACGTGGCTGGGTCTCTGCTGCGGTTGTGAGCAATAATCCCCTCCTGGAGTCTTGGCCTCTCCCCCGGGGCGGAGGCAGGCAAGACCCCCCCTGCCAGCGTGCACCTACACTTGGGAGGAAGAATCCCAACTCTCCCCGCTGTGCTGCTTTTGTGGGGACATTTGGTGACAGGGAACATCTTAGGGGTGTGTGATGGAGGGGGGGAGGTCCTCTGGACCTTCTGGTGTTGCTGGGAAGTTTTGGGGTGGGAAAGGGCATCCCAGTGGGGCTCCTCTTTGGTCTTTGGATGCCATGCCTGATCACACTGGGTGCTGGGTGTGGAGCTCAGCTGTCTTTCTTTCTTTCTTTTTCTTTTTCAAGTAGGCTCCATGACCAGAGTGGGGCTTGAACTCATGGCCCTGAGATTAAGAGTTGCTTGTTCTACCAACTGAGCCAGCCAGGCCCCACTATATCTATTTTTTAAATAAACCAAACGCCAGTGTCCTTTTTACTGGAACAAGTTCCTTAGCCCCAACTTAGACAAAGAGGCCTCCCTGGAACAGAGGGCCTTTTCTCTATCCCCACTACCCTAACTGGGACCCACAGCTCTGTGTCCTTCAGGGGTCACCTGCCCTTGCAGGAGGAAGGGCAGACCAGAACCAAATGCCCACACAGCCTTGCCTGGACCATGGGTGTGTGGGTGGGGACTGGGGTTGAGGTGCCCCTGGATGGGCAGCCTTGTGCCTTCACCCTGAGCTCTACCTCCCCTTTGCAACCTGAAGCCTGCTCCCAGGCCAGGGCTTTAGGGATAACCTATCCTGTGTGTCTGTCTTTGTAAAGTTGAGGATCTGCACCTGTCCCTCAGGGTCTCGGTGCATTTATGTCCTAACTGCTCTGGAAACTCTTGCCTTGATATCAGCCCTCACCTCAGCGCCCGCCCCCCCGCACGCCTCTCCCCAAGGCAGCTCTGACTCAGAGTCTCTGCACTTCCACTGTCCCTGTGGCCTGGGGGATGTGGCAAACAAGTTGCTTATACTAAGAGGGGCTTGCCCCCCACTGTGGCCTTGCTGCAGAACCGTCTGCCAGTGGTGGGGGGCGGGGGGGGGAGTGATGTTCTGATGTTTTCTACAAATCAATTTCTACATTCCAATTTTTATATATTTTCTTGGACTCTGTGTTATATGATTCAATAATAATTTTATTATAAAGACCACTCTGAATGTTTTTCTCACTTCTGGATGTTTGAGATTTTACTGGGGGGCAAGAAGGGGAGGCGCCTCCTCTTGTTCTGGGTTGCAGGGTGGCTCCTGAGTCTGTCAAGAATCAAGAGCCCCTTCTAGCCGGATGCTGGACAAGCAAGCACTCTGGGAGGGGCTGGTATCCCCATGTCCCCATGTCACAGTGGACAACACAGCCAGTGGGCTGAGCAGGGTCTGTGCCAGAACAGTGGAAGCTGGGTGGGGGGCTGACTTGGTGAAGATGGGCCACAGGGATGAGCTGGATCCAGGTGATGCAGGCATGCCCAGCCTACTGAACACAGACCCCAGGCCAAGTCCAAAGTCCCTGAGGCTGCCAGCCCTGCCAGTGTCCTGCGTGGTCCAGGGTCTGAATGCTTGAGGACCTTGGAACCTGCATACCTTCTCCAAGCCGACTTTGGCCATTCCGTATCTGGATGGTTTCTTGCTCAGTGCCCAGTGCCTCCAACAGCACCGCTGTACGGAGGAAGGTGTGGCCGGACCCTGGCTTCCCTAGGTGCCCGCATGGGTATCAGACGGGTGTGGAGGTCACAGAGAGTCAAAGGGTCAAAGGCCTGCTCCAAGGCCTGTGTGTTCCTTGCGAGGCTGCAGAGGGAGCCAGACGGGCCCCACCTGGAAGAGCACTTTTATTCTAGGCCAACCACGCAGGCATGGAGAAGTTTTACTACCTGGTCAAAAGCAGTCGAAACGAGGACCAACAGACGCCCTGAGGCAGGAAGTCGGGACCTCTTCAGCCTGGAGTCAGGGAGGGCTTCACGGAGGAGCGGGCGTTGAAGTCCGGAGCGTGCGCGGGGCGGTGGGGAACCAGGGCGGTCGGGCACCTGCGCGCAGAAGCGGCGCGAGGCGGGGCCGCAGGCGGAGGGCGGGCCTCGCCGCAAAGAGGGTCAAGGTTTCCAGTCAGGCGCGTTCTCGTGCAAGGCCGCGAACCAAACGGAGCTCCGCGCAGAGGAAAGGCGCTTGGCCCTGCGCGCGAGCGAGGTTCAAATACGCGGGCGCGCCAGGCCTGGTGGTGCGGGGCCCTCACAGCGGGGACCTGCCGCGGGGCTGGCCTCTGCGCAGCTGCCATCGCATGAGGGCTGGAGACGCGGGGATCTGGGATGACCCCCAGCCGCCTGGCCCATAGCCGCCTGCCTTGGCGAACCACGACTCCAGCCTGCCCCCTTCTTGGTGGGATGGATGGTATGACCTGGCACAAAACCCAATCCCTGGTCCCTGGCCAGTTCTTGCTTCTCTCCCTGACTCCTCCCCCTACCCTGTGCCCTAGCTCCACCGCTGGTCATTTCCGAGGGGTACCATGGCTTTGCTCTGGACCCCTCCCCCTCCTTCCCCCTCCCCAGGATGCCTTGGGGTGACTGGACCCTGAGGAACACCCACGAGTGTCCACCCCATAGCCACATGATGCCACAGAGTGTGTGACAGTCTGGCTTGACCCCCTGAGTGGCATGCAGTGGGTCAGCTACTGGAAAGGCCTAAGAGGACCGTCTCCCCCTCTGTCTATAGCGGGGTTTGGGTGGGGGGTGGGCAGGTCCTGGGGCCTTTCCGACAGCTGGGGACCTGCTCTCTCTCTCCAAACCACTTCTCTGCCAGTGGGGGAGACGGTCCCTGTTCCCGGTCATCTTGCCCTGCAGGCCTTCCTCTCAGAGGGCCTAGTGGCCCGTATGATGGGCAAGGGAGCGGAGGACAGCTCAGCATACTGGCAGCTCCCCTTGGCCATGGCACACGGTGCTGTCCCTCCTGGACCTGGACACAGCCAAGCTGCAGCAGCAGGCAGATGCCGACCTTCGCATCACCTGCGTCAGGACGTGGACGTGGGCGTGGGAAGGGAGGGGGCTGCTGGCCACACTGGTGGTCACACGACCGTGCGGGGGAAGGGGGGCAAGGACAGCCTATTGAGGCAGCAGGGAGGGGCCGGCCCCCCCCCACGGGGCTGGGCACTGGCCTGTGTCTCGGGGAGACCCTCTGCCAGGCTCCCTTGCCTGGGGCCCTCAGCCACCTTGGGACAGGTGTACAGATGAGGCTTCAGCTTCGTTTGGGGAGAAGACCTTGTCGTTTAAAACACACAACGTCCTGATGGCCTGGGCACCCTCTGCCCTAACTCCAGTGATGCTGGGAGCTATAGGAGGGGGCATGACTGCCCGCAACGAGGTTATTGTTCCCCTTGGGGAACCCTGCCCCAGGACACAGGAAAAGACAGGCAGGGCCTTTGCCAGGTCCCAGGGCTGCTTATGGTGCCAGAGACGGGGAGGGGGAGATGCAGGAGGGACTGCTGCTTTGGCAGGGCCCCTCGGAGAAGCTCTTGTCCTTGCTCGGGGCCGCCAGCTGCCAGGGCTGCTCGTCTTTCTCCGGGGACAGCGATCCTGGAAGGTCCAGCCTGGGGTGCCCCCTGGAAAGGGGGCAGGAACCTGGGGGGCCTGGGGCTGGGGAGTAGGCTGCGCAGAGTCAGACTCGCACAGCTGCGGCTGCGTCTAAAACGTAAGTAGGTTTGTTTCTTTAATAGTGTGTGTGTGTTTATAGTCTTTATTAGTGGATAAATATTAAAAAATCATCTCACAGACAGCGTGGTCAGGGGCAGGCCCGGCTTGCCTAGCCGACTGGGGGTGGGCCCTTCTGGGGGCCCCGGCCTGGTCTGCAGGGTGAGGCTGTCCCACCAAGGCTCGTACACCAGCGTGTAGCTCTCTGCTCTCTTGATGGTGAACCTATAGGAGCGGTTGGGCAGCAGGTTGTGGACGTCAAAGGTGCAGGCGGCCACGGGGATGATGCCGCACTGCATGCACTCCTGCTGTGTCCGTGGGTCCAGCAGCTTGAAGCGCAGCTCGAACTGCTCCGGGGCCGCCGGCTGGATGGTGACAAACCAGCGCAGGCTGGCCCAGTCCTGGTGGGCCACCGACCCCTTTCGGTCAAACATGACGGGCATCTTGGTGCTCAGCATAAGCCTGATGTGCGGGATCTTGGTGGTGCCAATGTCAGACACCAGACGGTGCTTGAGGTGCAGGCGCCCAGGTACCATCATGGCCAGGAAGCTGTCCATGACCGCCGACAGGTCTGCCAGCCTCTGTGCCACCAGCCCCCAGCCCGCCAGAAAGGGCCGCGGGTCAGGCGACTCCAGCAGAGCGTCCAGCTCGGCGCGGCCACGGTCTAGCTGCTCCAGCAGGTCCCCGAGCAGCAGGAGTTGGATCTTGGTCTGGGCGGTGCCCACCTTCTTCATGCGCTGGAACTTCCAGGGGTCGATGAGCTGGAACATGGTGTTGGGCAGCACCAGGGGGTTCTGGTCCCCCAGGGCCAGGTGCTTGGGGAGGATCTCGATGTAGTAGGAACACTTCTTGAGCAGTTCCATGCGGGCATGGTGGCGCTTGAGCAGGTGGGGGCTCAGGTCCGAGGTCAGGAACTCGCGCAGCGCCGTGCGGCGCTCCATGTAGGCCCTCCAAGCCTCTGGCTCCAGCAGCTGCTGATCCTCAGCCTCCTCGGCCTCCTCCTGGTCTAGGAAGGACTGGGGACTGTCCAGCTTCATCTTGTCCAGGCCCAGGCCTGTCACCTGGAAGTTCATGTCTGGAAGCAGGGGGCAGAGGGTGGGGTGTGAGCTGACACGGTCAATTGGCCTCTGCCACCCACCTGGGGGCTCACTCAGGTCAGTGTGTGTGCGTGTGTGGCGGGGAGGGGTGGCTTCAGGCCCACTGCCCTCCATACTGGGCCCTCTGTCCTCCCCCAGGGGGAGGAGCTCGTGGGGAGAGCACATCTCTCTGGGAAAAGCCTGCCGATCTGGATAAAACTGGACACTGAGGGGCAACCACTCTATTGATTATCCATTGTGATGACACAGGGACACAGGGAAGGGCTGAGACAATGGGCCCTAGGGCTAGATGGGCCCGGGCAGGAACCCCAGCCACTGACCAGCTGTGTGGCCTGGCCAAAGCCTCAGGTCCTCGTCTGAATGGGGCGAAGGTGCTGCCTCGGGACTGTTGAGAGGATTCAGTGCGATCCTGTCTGTGCGGCACCAGACTCCCCCTGGGGGACACCACATCCCTGCGGACCTTCCATGCCTCACTGTCACTGCAGGTCAGAGCAAAGGGTCAGGGCTCAGCCCAAGACAAGGCCAGGTGGTGGTTGGAGCCAGTGAAGGAGGCAGGGTAGCCCCGGGCCTCGCCTTCTAGTTAGGTACTGAGCCCCTACTCTATGCCTTGAAGCCCCTCAGAGTGGTGAGGTCCTGTCATCTCATCTCACAGAAGGGGGGCCTGAGGCTAAAGTGCTTCGTAGCTTGCTTTCAGTTCAGGGCTGGAGGCCAGCCACCAACTCCAGGGCCTGACTCTCCTCCTGTGCTACCCTGCCTCGGCTCCCAGGTCTAGGGGGCAGTGGCCCACCTTGGGGAGGATGGGGCCGGCTGGGGCAGGCCACGGGCCACAAGGATTGGCCCTGCAAGCTGGTGCTCCTTGAAGAAGGGGCCAGCAATCCTACTGCTGTCCCAGGTCCCAGCCCCCACCCCCCCAGGACAGTGAGACAGCTCCTTGTGCCGGCCGGTGGCTTCACTTAGGAGAGCTCAGGTGGTCCCAGCAACCCAAGGGTTGGATGAATTACAAAGAAAGCTGACAGGCTGAGTGACCTGCCCAAGGCCACACTGCAAAGTGCCAGTAAGGTTGGGACCCAAGTCTGCCTGCCTCCCCAAAGGCCAGCCCTTCACCTTCCCCGGGCAGACAAGCCAGAGCAGGCCCTGGGTACAACAGAGAGGGTATCTGGGATGAGGTGAAGCATCACCCCAGGAATCCCAGCCTAAGTCCTGCTGTGGCCCCTGGGTCTGACTATGGGTTCAGAGATGTTTCCCAGTCGCCAGCAGTCTCTCGGTTGGAAAATCGCAGAGGGGCTGGTCGTGAATTCGGCGAAGGGGCCGCCCTGTGCTCTGGCCAGAATCCCAGACCTACACCCTCCTGGGCCTTCCAGAAGCCCCCAGGTCCACCCCCTCCCCTCCCCTCCCCAGCCACCAGCCCGCCTCCCCGGCCCGCGCCCAGCCTCCAGGAGCGCCCACTTGCCCTGCCTCCCGGAGCGGAGAGAGCCAACCGGCTGACTGTGCGCCCAGCGCGCGCCGCCGCGTCCAGCGGGTTGCCATGGGGACCGCGGGCCTCTGTGACGCCCCGCCCGGCCCGGGGCTGGGGGCAGGGTGGGGCGGTAGCCCAGGACCCCGGGGTGCGGGGAGACCCCGCCCGGTCGGGCCCCTTCCCTTGAAGAGCTCCGGGAAGACCGCGCGGGGCGGGGCGGGGCGCTGTCTGATCCCAAGACCCGGACTCGGACTAGGACTCGAGCCACTCGTCCGGCCCCGGCCCCGCCCTCCACCCGGGTCTCAGGAGGATAGAGTGGTCCCGAGGCTTCGCTCCCTCCCTGGGGAACCTGGTTCCTCCCCTATTTGGGAACCACCACGAGGGGCTATTCCGAAAGCCACGCCCAAAGGAGGAGTTGCGCAGAGAGGAGTAAACCGAAGCCTGTGGCGCCTGTGCCAGGGCCCCCTGTCCCGGGGTCCTGTCGAGGCTTGGAGGGGTGCGTACAGGAAGGAGGGCTCTGCTCGCAGTCCCAGCCTGTGCCCCGCTCCCAGGAACCCGTGGGAAGACCTGCGGGGAGCAGCAGTGACCTCATGAGTGGACTGGCAGGTGGGTGACACTTGTCACCACCCCAGGGAACAGAGCATGGATCGGAGCAGCTGCTTCTGCCGTCACTACGCCTGCCTGGGCTGCTACTCTTGATCTGCGTCCAGACCAATGGGTCTCCACGGTTCCCCGGAGCCCGTCAGCCCCTCCCTTGAACCCCATCGTAGCCGCCAGCTAGGCTCAGCACCTCTGGGATGTCTCAGCAAGCCTGGGGCCTCCCCCGGGCAGTGGTCATCCTTGGGGGGATGGAGGAGGGGGAGGGAGGCAGGATGCCCTGCCTATGGGTGTCCCTGCCCCAGGGGGAGGGCAGTGGTGGGCCCCCTCCAGGGTAGGGCATCTGTCCCTCAGCCCCCCTCCAGGGTAGGCATCTGTCCCTCAGCCCCCTGCCGGTCTGTTCTATGTCCAGAGCCTCCCCTGCCCCACAAGTGCACCCCTCCCCTCTGGGTGACCCCATTCTTGGGAAGAGGCTCCCCTGGCTAGGGGCCCATCAGCTCATCCTCAGGCCCAGGTCTGGGTGGGCATGGAGGCCCCAGGTCAGACCTGGGGAGGGGGCAGTGGATGCCATTTCCGCCCTCCTCTTCCTGTTTTGGGCTCCAGCAAAGGCTGGCTGTTGTTATTTGGAAAGGGAGTTGTGGAGGGTTGAGGGGGCAGCTGACGCTGGAAAGGGGGAGAGGGAGAAGACACCCCCCACCCTGCAGCCCACCCACAGAGAGGGACAGAGAGACCCCTCCCCCCCGAACTTCTGGGCCAGGCATGTCTTGGACCTCTGCCTGGCCCCATCCCCTTCTTTCTATTTAACTTTTAAAAATTAAATTCTTAATTTTGAGAGAATTGAAGATTCACACACAGTTGTAAAAAATACCACAAAGATCCCATGATTCTTGCCCTGTTCCCCCAGTGGAATCACCATCTTTCAGAACATCTGGTCATGCAAGGTCACCCAGGATAATGAGAGTGACACCACGAGACGTGGGACTGGTCTGCCCCCCAGGGACCCCACATTGCCCTGTGCAGCCACCCCAACCCCTCCTTTCCCCCAGCAACCACTACTGTCCTCTCCATCCCTGAACCCGCTGTAGAAAGGAGCCACATGGCACGCAGCCTTTGGGGTCTCCTTTGCTGGGCGTATTTCCTTCCATCGCTGAGCGGCAGCCCCTGGAATGATGGACAGTACCAGGCTGCGCTGCCCCTGAGCCTTAGGAGCCATGAGAAGGGTACCCTGGTGGTGGCAGGATCACAGGGGGGAGGGTGCACCTCCACCACAGACCCCCATAGTGTGTCCTCCAGAAAATGAACCCATGGTGTGCTGCTCTGGGCTGTCAGCCTCGGCTAAATGCCCAGGAAGCCCCCTCCTCCTCCCAGCAGAGCTGGTCTGGACCCTCACTTGGCCCCTGCAGGCTCAATGCCCTTAGAGACAGGGAAATGGAGGCAGAGAGGTCTAGCACCTTACCAGAGGTCATACGGCTGGTGAGTCTGACAGCAGGATCAGAACCCTGTCCTCTGACCCCATCCCACGTTGGGGGTCCTGCCCCTTATGCACGCACCTCCCCACCCCCACCAACCCCGTGGTCGGGGCCAATGGAGGAGGTGAGGCTAACAGGAGAGTGGTGGAATCAGGGCAGGGCCGTCCTGGGCCAGGAGGGTGAGGGGAGGAAGGGAACGGTGTGTCCCGGAACCTGGAGCTTGGGGACAGGCAGCTGGGCCAGCAGGAGCGAGGCAAGTCTGAGAACTGCCAGTGACAAGAGGGACAAAAGTGGCTCTTGCTGCTGGCCACCTGGCCCCGGGGGTGTGTGTGCAAGGGCAACAGGCTGCTTGGAGGGGTGAGGTGGGTGAAGAGAGGTGGTCTGGGGGTTTGGGGGTGAGGGGATGGAGGAGGGCTCCAGCAGAGAGGTGGCCGTGCGTGGGGTGCTCCCCGCAGAGCCCACTGCCCAGAGCAGTCAAGGAGGAGCCTCTCTCCCTCTGGGGGACAGGGCCTTCTTCAGCCCCTCTGTCCCAGTCACCTTGGAGCTGGCCCCCACCACCACATGTTCCTGCTGGAAAATGTCCCCGTTCTGACCTCGAGGAGGGGTGAACAGGACCTTGTTTCCGCATCTGTAGGATGCCATGGGGGTTGGAGCCCACTGCACTCTGTCCCCTGATTCGCTCTCTGGCCTTTGCTTGGGCCGACAGGAGGCCTGGGCACCAGACATGGAGGCCAGAGGACTGAGGAGGGTCCCTCCCTGCCTGCCCTGACCACCAGGTGGAATGTGCTGAGTCCTAGCGGCTGGAATGCTGTAGCTCGGAGGGACTGGGAGTGTCCAGGAGGAATCTGTGTCCAGTGCTCAGAGCACTTGACCCCAAGCACAGTCAGCACAAGCAGGACCCTCCCACGACCTGAGAGGGCCTCCCTGTGGTCGAGAGAACCAGAGGCTCGAAGCATGGTTTCCCAGGGGAGAAGCAGCATAAGTGTAAAGGATTTAAGGAAATTGGTGTGCAAAACCCAGACTTGCACGAGCACGGGAGGAGTGTGTGATGGGGTGGAGTGGGCAGATTCCCCGTGAGGCTGGTGGAGCAGAAGCTTCAGGGCCCTTCCAGGCCCTTCCCTAAGTTTGTATTTGTGGGTAGCCTCAAATACATTCCCCCAGGATGAGAGTCAGCTCCACAGAGGCTACCCCTCAGGCCCCCTGCCCCCTCCAGGCTTTGTGAGCCCCGGAGAGCTGCTCAGACTCCAGGGAGGGGCAGCTCATGGCACCACATTACAGTTTGCACATTGAACGAGCTGTGCCCCAGGAAGCCCCCAGGGTGTGTTTCAGAGAGAAGTGGTCTGCTGCAGCTCTGGGGGCAGGTAGGGGGTGCCGGGCTTCTCCTTGGTCAAACAATCATCGCACCTGTTTGTTGGCCGCGTGCAAACCCAGAACACGCACATCCAGGCGTTGATCAGTGTGGAGTTTGGAAGGAGGGTCTCACAAAAAGGGTATGGGCTCAATCATGACCACCGGGTGCTAAAGGGGCTGAGCTGGGGGGAGGCCAGCAAGGGGAGGAGCATGCAGGCTGCCTGGGGCTGGGACCCCACCCACCACAGACCCTGCCTCAGGGCCCCCAGAGTTTGCTCTCTCCATCCTGCCCAGAAACAGAGGCTGACCTGGCAGTGGGCAGAGCATGCCTCAGTGCGCAGGGGTCCTGGCCTGGTCCAGGGAGCTGAGGAAGAGGGGTGGCGCAGGCCCTCCCAGGCTCACCTGCCACCCTTCTGTGCCACGGCACCCCCATTCCCATCCTTGAGGTGGGGGTCAGGTGTCAGAGCCTCCCCCACCCCCGTGGTGGCTGTGGGAGGTCTCCTGGCCTGCAGTGGCCCAGAAGCATTGGCCTGTCACCAGGGCAGCACCTATAGAGCCCTTCCAGTGCTCACCGAGCACCCCAATGTCCCACGTTACCGTGTAACACCCAGAGTGGAGGGAGCTTATCTCACTTGTCCAGAGTCCCAGGCTGCCCCCAGTCCAGCTCCGAGCCTTTGCTGCAGAGCCTCGTGGTGGGCATGTAAGGCCCCGTCCTGCATAGGATTTTTATGTTGAGGGATTTGGCCAACATTTAAAGAACAGGCAGTTCTCTTTTAAGATTTTATTTATTTGACAGAGAGAGAGAGCACAAGCAAGGGGAGGGAGCAGCAGGCAGAGGGAGAGGGAGAAGCAGGCTCCTTCCAAAGACTCCAGGATCAAGACCTGAGCGGAAGGCAGACGCTTCACCGACTGAGCCCCCCAGGCGCCCCGAGAACAGGCGGGGTTTCCTACACAAATCCAGCTCTCTTCTGTCCCATTAATGAAACCCCATTTCTCTGAGGGCAAAGCTCAGGTCAAGGGCGGGCGCGCGGTTCACCTGCGCTGATCGCTTTCCCCACCGCGTCCCACTTGCGGCCCCACAGCCCCGCCCCGAGGCCCCGCCCCGAAGCCCGAGGCCCCGCCCCCGGAGGCGCGTCCTGGGGCCGCACCTGGCCCAGCCCCCAAAGAGCGGCTCTGAGCCGTTGGGGCGACGCTCTAGAGGTCCAACACAGGAGCCGCCGTCGTGTGGCGGGGGGGGGGGGCTGGAGGGCCACCTTGAGCCCCACCCTGGTCTGAACCCCAGCCCGGGAGGCGGGAGGGGGCGGGGGCAGTTGTGCGCGCCTTGCTGGAGGCTCCTCTGGAGTGACCTGAGCCCCACACTCTGCGCCACCAGGGACGCCAGCAGTAAGGCTCGGACCCTCGCCGTCCCACCGGCCCTTCCAGTTTCTGTTGGTCGGAGTCCTCAGTCCTGCCGCTGCGGCACCTCCGCTGCGGCACCTCCCCTGCGGGACCCTGGGTCCGGCGCCCTGACGACCGGGAGCATGGAGCCCTTCCTCAGGAAGCGGCTGACCTTCCTGTCCTTCTTCTGGGACAAGATCTGGCCGGTGGCCGCGCCGGACGACGGCGCCCCGGGGT